TTCATGGATAAGAAGACTCAATATTGTGAAAATGACAATCCTACCAAAAGCAATCTACATATTCAATGCAATCCCATGGGCAGGGAGAGAAGTGCAGCAATGAATGAATGGAAATCCAAAATCTCTGTAAATGCTCATTAAAATTATTAAAAAAAAGAAAGGGAAATTATCAAATTTATTTGGAGCAGCAAGAGACCTTGAATAAGCAAAACACTTCTGAGAAAAATGAGGTTGGAGGCATAGCACTCCCTGACCTCAAAGCCTACCAAAACAGCATGGTACTGGTACAATGACAGGCACACAGACCAATGGAACAGAATTGAGAACCCAGAAATAAACTCAGCTATCTATGGTCAACTGATACTTGACAAGGAAATGAAAACTATCAAGTGGGGAAATGATAACCTCTTCAACAACTGATGCTGGCAAAAGTAGCTGAAACAGGATCCAAATCTTACATCCTACACAAAACTAAAGGTAGATCAGAGACCTGGAAATAAAGCTCAAAACCGTAACATTCAAAAGAGACAAACTGGGATCAAGCTTAGAAGTGCTATTCCAATGTATAAATAAAATGCCAAATACAACAGAAATGCACAATCTAAAGAGGATAAAATTGATACATGTGACTTTCTAAAGATTAAATCCCTGTGCACATCAAAAGCATTTTCCAACACGGTGGAAAGAAAACCTACAAACTGGAAACAAACATTTGGTAATACCATCTCAGACAAGAGTCTCATAATGAAAGTCTACAGAATACTCCTGGGCTTCTGCAAGAAAAGACTGATAACCCAATTACAAAATGGGCAAAACACATGGAAAGAATTTTCACAGAGGAAGATATTCGACTGGCAAAGAGACATATGAAGAAATGCTCCAAATCATTGGCAGTAAGAGAGATGCCAATCAAAACCACAATGAGGTACCATCTCACTCCTGTAACAGTGACAAAGTTTAACAAGGCAGCAAGTAATTAATGTTGGGGAGGATGTGGTGAGAAAGGAACTCTTATGCATTGTTGGGGGGCTTGTAATATGGTACAACCATTCTGAAAGGCAGTTTAGCGCTTCATCAAAAAGCTGAACATAGAAGTTCCATATGACCCAGCTATTCTACTACATGGAATATACCTTGAAAAAAATGAGAACTGAGGCACAAACTGAGATTTGTACACAAATATTCATAGCAGCATTATTCATTATTCACCATCACAAAGAACATTGAAACAGCCCAGATGTCCAACTACAAACAAATGGATTAAGAAATTATGGTACATTCACACAGTGGAATACTGTGCAGCATGCAGGAGCAATGATTTTGTAAATTATTACCTAACTTGGGAATGACTGGAAAGCATTATGCTGAGTGAACCAACTCAGTCCCACAAGGGTAAATATCATATAAAACCATTAATGTAGAATGAATATAAGGAGGCAGGAGGGGTGAGAGAGGCTGGAAGCAGAGGGATGTGGACGTGCAGAGGGAAGGGGGATTAATACCGGGTTGTACAATTTGATGGGTGGGAGAGGGTGAGGGAAATAGAAAGAATTTGTTTTAATTTGTATTAAAATTCTGTAAATAAACTAGTAGAAAACTTTTTTAAAAAGAAAAATAATATGAATTTTAAAAAATGAAAGAAAGAACAACAATCCAGAATAATAAGAACATCATTTCAGAATATGTTATTATACTGAAGGGGCAGATAAGCAGAATTATAGACTTAGGACACAGAATCAGTGGAACAGGAGATAGAACTCTCCTCACTGATCTGCTACAGCAAAAGGGGAAGAACATGAAGAATGTCTAAGAATTACAGTACATGATACTTGGAAAGGTGGAGGGTCAGTGGAGGAGAGGAAGACCCACAACCACGTGGATAGAAACAGTAACTGCCCCAATAGGTTCTAGTGGCAGGAAGTGTGAGGATGACAAAAGATATGACAGAGTTCAGATGTGTTGTTCATAAGGTCGCTATGGGTAGTACTCAACTTACTGGCACCTAACAACAACGAATAATTAGAATTCTAGAACAGGGAGAAGCCAAAATAAAAGGTACTGAAAAATGATGGAGTATTTACTAGAAGAAAGTTTTCCTGATGTCATAAAAACAAGAAAAATTACATCCAAGAAGCTGAACAAACCCTAAATAGAATAAACCTCAAAAGAAAAACACCAAAGCATATTATAGTCAAATTCACTTCTCAAAGATCAAAAACAAGGAGAGAATTCTGAAAGCAGCAAGAGAGAAACAATTATATATAAAAGAGAATTTTATATATATATAAATTATATATAAAAGAGTAAGTGCCAATTTTTCAACAGAAAGCATGTGAATAAGAAAACAGTGAAATCACGTAATCAAAACTCTGAAAGAAAACAACTGTCAACTGAGAATCCTGAACCCATTAAAAAATCTCAGTCAAATATGACAGAGAGACCTGGCATTCTCAGGAAAGCAGAAACTAAAGAAGATTTTGCAAACAAGGCCAATGCTGCAAGAAATGCTAAAGGAAGTCCTTTCTACAGAGATACCACTACCAAAAAGTAGATGGATCAGAGGAACCAGCAATGTACCAAAAACAGGACAGCATTAAATCTTGTCTCTTGATAATCACACTTAGCATGCATGATTTAAATGCCCTAGTAAAGAGAAAAATAGTGGCAAATTGGATTAAAAACCAAAATCCATCAATTTGCTGTCTAGAAGAAACATACCTGGAAAACCAAAGATAAAAATAAGTGGGGGTAGGGGAGAAATATATACCAAGCAAACAGCAAAAAAAGAAAAGTTATTAGTTTTTAGTGTTGCATAGTACTCCACTGTGTGCATGTACCACAGTTTCTTCTGTCATTGGCCCATACTGGACTCCTGGGTTGTTTCTGTCTTTTTGCTGTTGTAAATTTGCCCTGCAGCTTGGTTTGATTTACTACCTACCACTCCCTGTGGGACAGCCTGCTTTTGAACAGGTGTCTTACCAGCAGAAGTTAGGACACACAGATACAATGAGCCTGAGATTTAAAATAGAAAATAAAAAGGAAAATGGGAAGAATTCAATCACATACTTCTCTGGCCCACAACATGACAAGGGTTTTTTCCCCAGGGTCTACTCAAATCCATTAAAAACAAACATTCCGGTGCAACCACTGTGGAAGGCGGTATGGCACTTTATAAAAAAGTTATAAATAGAGATACTATTTGACCCCACAATTACACTACTGGGAATATACCCCTAGGAGACCATTACTGACATCCAAGCAGATGTATGCATACCCATGTTTATTGCAGCTTTGTTCACGATAGCGAGGAGTTGGAAACAACCTAAGTGCCCATCAACAAACGAATGGATAGAGAAGCTATGGTATAGTCACATAATGGAATACTGTGTTGTATTGAAAAATATGGAACTCATGCAATATTATTCAAAATGGGTGACCCTGGAGGACATTATGCTGAATGAAGTATCTCAGTCACAAAAGGGCAAATACTGCATGGTGCCACTGTTGTAAAACAGAACTGACTTTGAGGTTGGGGAGAGACTGAGAAAGACGGGTTCAATAGTGTATACTGCATTGAAACAGATGAGGGAGAAAACTGTTTAAGAGGGATTATGTGATTAGGTATTTTTGACATGGCAGGAGTCTATAGCGAAGGCTACATGGTGGAGTGGACCTAAGGGAGGGTTTATAAAACAATGAAAGAATTTGTCTTTTACTTTTCCAAGAGGGTAGTGTACTAAGGGGGAGGGATGGAAGGGGAGAAAGGTGCAACAATGAATGAATGGAAATCCAAAGTCTCTGTAAATTTTTACTGAAATTAATAATAAATTTTAAAAAAAGGAAAGTTGAAAAAGAAAAAAAGTGAATGAGTTGAGAAACTGTGGTACATTCACACAATGGAATACTACACAGCACTGACAAGCAACAATTTCAAAAATACTACGTAGCTTAGGAGAGGTTGGAGAGCATTATGCTGAGTGAACTAATTCAGTTTCATAAGGACAAATATTGTATTACCATTATTGTAAAAATAGAAGGATGACTAGCAGGATGTGTATACCATGGTCCAAAGTAAGAAAGGGAGGGAGGAGGGACTAGGGTGGGGAGGAGGGAATCACCACATCACAGAATTTGGTAGGTGCAAGAAGTTAAGAAGGATCCATTTGGGACCTAAAAAGACAAGGTAATAGTAGGCATAGATTATAGTAGGCATAAAGGTGATTTTACAAAATACAGTGTGTGGGAATGAATCTATGAAACACAGCATGAATGAAGGAATATATGAAACACAATGTATATGACTTAAACACAATGTAAATTACCTGTGTATGCAAATCAATATAAAATAAAATTCTCTTTAACTCCCCCCCCTCCAAAAAAAAACCACACAAAACCATTCCTGGGCTAAGTAAGTGACTGTCACTCAGTTTCAGAGAGCTGTAAGTATATGGTCCCTGAGAGGCAAAACCTCACAGCAGTGCAACCTTTAGAGACTAACTTTTGCCTAAGTCTGCATGAATGTGAGGCAGGTTGTGTGTGGAGTTGAGTGGGAATTGAATACCCCAGCCCACCCTAGACCCTAGTGAAGTAGCCCTCAAAGATTGTGTTGGGTTTCCTTACAATTCTTTGCAATTGACTCCATTGTGAATTTTCTATCCCACAACCACAAGCTGGTCAGTTCAGCACAGATTTCCTAGGAGAGGTGGTTGAGGGCAACTAATATCCTCTAGCTTCCTTGTGTGCTGTGCATGCATGTGAGATGTTGGGGCTTTTTGAAAGCAAATGTTCTGTTGTAATCCTACATGATCTGTCCTTGGTGGGAGAAAAAGGGACAAAGGAGGTAACTCTGAGGGATCTGCCCATCATCCATCTGCTGCTGTGCTGAGGTAGTTGAAGAAAAGGGTTTATCTTTTCCATGTGTTTTGTTTCATTTCTGTGCTTAATTTTTTCATTTGGATAAGAGATGGTTACCTGTCAATGTGTCCCTTTTTGCATTACAGGATGTTAAAGTCTTTAGTGAAGACGGGACATGCAAAGTGGTGGAGATCCTAGCAGACATGACAGCCAGGGACCTGTGCCAGCTTCTGGTTTACAAGAGTCACTGTGTGGATGACAACAGCTGGACGCTAGTGGAACACCATCTGCACCTCGGACTAGGTAGGGAGCATCCTCTAGCTGGTGGCAGTGTCTCTCTAGGCATGAGGTCTTGGATGCTCAGTATGCAGCCTATCATAAAGACCCCTGCTCACATACCTGACACATAACTATGTCATATATTTGACAGCATCTCCAGCTACCATAGCCAGGGTCCTCTGTTCACGGTTTTCAGGCTTGCTTTCCTTTTCATGAACTCCCCGTTCTCCTTCCTCCTCCCTAGTCCTATCCCAGGAGTGTAATTGTGAAGCATTGTTTAAAAAAATGTTTTCTAAAGGGCCTAGAATGATTAAGGAGCTGCTTCTTGTGGTTTGGCTCACATTGACATCATTGCTCTTTAGCACTTTGGAGAAGTCACTGACAGCAGATTTCCCCACTACAATAGATCTATTGATTTCCTGGTTGCTAGTGTCAAGGATATTGATTGTGGATCCAACCAAGATGAAGTAATTGACAATTTTTATCTCTCCTACATCTATCATGATGTTGCTTGTGAGAATTTTTATTTTCTTGATTTGGAGATATAACAAATATTGACGGTTGTAGTCCTTCATCTTCAGCAGTATTTCAGTTCCCAGTCACTTTCAGCAAGCAAGGTTGTATAATCTGCATAATACAGATCATTGATGAGTCTTCCTCATTTGGTATGTTCTTTTAATTAAATATCACTCCTTTACCTGATATATCTACACTGTATGCCCAGATCATGCTGTGTAAACATGGGTTAGCATTTCTTTAAGTCATGATTGCCAACTTCCCATACTCTTAGGTATATGTTGTGATCCACTTTCTAGTTGTGTCCTATCTCAAGTGATTGTCAGACACTCAATAAGATGGATTAACACAATGACTACCACAGTGGGCTCAAGCATGCCAGAGATCATGAGAATGAACATGATAGGACAAAGTTCAGAAAAAGTTGTTCACAGAGTCGCTGTGGGCCATTGTCAACTCGATGGAACCTAGCAACACCTAATAATCTTCTGAAGAGTTGCATGGAGGCAGAAGCTTTTGTGTGGTCACTGCCCTCCTCCTCTTTCCAAGCAGATTCACCAGGGACTCAGACTGTCCTGTCCAACTCCAGGTTGGAACGTCCATGAATGGACTCTGCAGTGGTCTGGTGAGGCCATAATAAGCACTTGTTTGCACACAAGTAATGTGGAAAGTAAGTCATCGTGGCAAGCCTACCACATCACATATCCAGAACTCACTTTCCTAAGCCTCCATGTATTCAAACAACGAATAAGATATCCTGGCTCAGACAGAAGGAATTGTGTTGACTGTTAACTTGAAAATTTTAGCAGGAGTTGTGTTAACATTGCAATTTCACAAGCTTAGAGCACTTAGCAAGGAACCAGTATGCATACAATTTTAACATGTAAAGATTGTTTCCACAGTTCTGATTAAAAATTTCCTAGAAATAATTCTTCATTTCTGGCGTATCACACCAAAAACCTGCTACCATTAAGTCAATTCTGACTCATAGTAGTCAAGTAAAAGAGAAAAGGGAAAGGCAAAGACGATTTTTGAGAAGAGAAAGCAGCATTGAATCAAATATTGAGCCTTGTTGGGAAAAAAGAGTGAATGAATGAACCTCACATGGTCAGATTCTTCATGGACTTCCCTGCATGTATATTACTCAGAAATTCCATCTTTCTCCTTCAGTTCCTCTGTCATTATTGCTATATGTTGTTAAATTGACTACAAGTCATAGCAACCCTGTGAACAACAGATCTGGACTTGCCATATCCTGTACCATCATCACCATCTTTGATATACTCGAACTCATCTTTGCAGACAGAGAGAGGAAGGTCCTAAATAGGATAGACTGACACCTTTCTCATTAGCAGCAAGCACATTTCTTCTGTCTGGGTTTTGTAGGGGCAGGATTTTGGCCCCCAAGTTGCCCCTACCTGGAAGGTCAGCCTCCAAGGGCCTCAGCTGTCCATCAGCTCCCCTATTCACAGACCACCCTCACCTGTCTGTAGTCAGTGCACTAAGGCCAACATTTCCTTTTAATTCTTAAATTTGGTTACTGTCTCAACAGAAGATGATCTCTTTCCACTTCTCACCAGCATTCTGTGTTGAGCTCAGCAGTACAAGGAAGGATGAGCCAGGTGCAGTGGTAAAGCCCCCTGGTGCTCAGTGGATGGGAGAATGCCTTCCATGTGAAGCCCTGCCCAGGTGTGAGACGTGGAGATGCCAGCCTGGCACCAGCTTCTAGGTAGTGGTTGATGTCTCAGAAGACCAGTAACCTGCTTATGGGTCCTCCAGCACAGTCTTTCCTATACTCAAGGAGACAACTCCAACTCAATCAACTTATTTTATTTGATATATTCTAAAAAGGATGTTTTTTAAGTCTCTGGTTGGTGCAAATTATTAGCATACTCAAGTACTAAGGGAAAGGTTGGAGATGTAAACTATCTGTAGCAAACCTTATAAGGAAAGCTTGGTGATCTACTCATGAGAAATAAATTATGGAGCCTGAGAGAGTGCAGGTACACACTGACATGCATGGGGTTGCTGGTGATCAGTAGACTGGCTCATTTTTCCTATCTCGGTGTTGATGTGCACATAGAGGCCTGCTGTCCTTTCAACTCCATAAAGCAGTTATCCCCCACCCCATCAGTGACTAACAGCTTGTAATCTCTACAGAGCTTCTAAAAGTCAGAATTTCAGAGGTTACCTAACTAGACTCATCTTTACAGCTAAAATATAGGCACAGATGGTATGTTCTTAAACCCTAGGGACCCTTTCTCATACTCAAAAATGAGCAATGAGTATATAAAGTAAGGGGCCCACGTTCAGCAGAGACGTATGAGGGTCCTAACCCCCACCAGCACTATCAGCCTGGGAACACAGGGCAGCAGGGCTGTCACCTCCAGGAGCACCCCTGTCTGGTGGCAGTTTCCCCATCATTACTCTAAACCACAAAGCTTAGTCATCCTTGCCTCCAAGGAACATTTGACCACACTCTTTCTAAGAAATAATCTATTTTTCATACTTTGGGCATGTCGTTAAGTGAGGCTATTCCTTGGAAATGGACATCATGCTTGGAAAGACGCAGGGTCAGTGAAGGAAAGGATGATCTCCAATGAAATGGATTGATACTGTGACTTCAGCAATGGGCCCTAGGGTCTCAGAGCTGATGAGGATGGCACAGGGTAAGGCAGGTTTCAGAATGGCTGTTCATAGGGTTACTATGAGTCATACTTGAATCAGCAGCACCTAAAAACAACAACAACTCTGAACCACACTGGTTTGTAGGCAAATAAGGCTCCTTGTTTCTGGAACTGAGTCCCTGGCCAGCTCCTGTGACCATGACCCCTTCTGAAAATCCCTTGTCTTTGTAGGCAGAGTCTGTGGTGATTAGTGACGTTGTATAAGTGTTGTGTGAGTTTCTGAGTCTCCGTTTTTGTTTATTTGTTCCTCTCAATGCCCTCTCCATATCTATCCTGCCAGAGATCCCTTGGCATTGTAGCTCCTAAGTAGAGCAGGAAGACCTGGGATGTGACCTTGACCATCCACACAGGCCACAAGTTCAGCCAGTGTGCGGTGAAGTGTAAGAGGATCATTGAGAAGTCAGTCCCATCCTGCTTGCCTCTGAGCCCATGAGGGTGCATTTCTCAAGGTTTGGCTCAACTGAAAAACTCTTAACAAGTAAAGGATTTAGTGATGATAAAGGGGTTGGCTGTAGGGTCACCAAGTAAACAGATTCCTCTTTTTTTGAAAATATGCGTGTATATGTGGAGACATTATGTTTGGAAACGTAGGTCAGTGTAAAAGAGAAAGACCCTCAGTGAGGTGGACTGGAATGATGACTGCCACAGTGGACTGGAGCTAGCAGATGCCATGGTGCAGCATCAGGCAGGGTTTTGTTCTTTACACTCAAGGTTGCTGTAAGAGCCTACTGGGCAGCACCCACTGACCACAGCAGAGACAAAATGACACTTTGGTGCCCCGTGGGGTTTAATGCAACTGTGCCTCCACTCCCAGCATGAGCAGCCACCCACAGCAGTTCAGGAGACTGGGGTAAGTGGTCGGAGAGGCTGGAGTTCAGAGATTACTGTTGCAGCAGATTCTCTGGGTGGCAAGGGCTTGAAATAATGAGATGATGACCTTTCAGTGAAAATGGCAGGGTCTTTCCTGGGCTGTGTTCAGCCTTACACTCATTTCTCATTAAGTCCACACATTTGGATTGCTGCCACGGTGCCGTTTTGGATGGACATGTAGGAAGGTGCTAGAGGAGAGGCAGCAGGCTCTTGTCAAGTTTCTTGTCCTGACAGGACAGATTCTGTTCTGTCATAATATTCACATCTGTTAAATCTAAAAGTCACTAGAAGAACATCCTTTCTCCAATTAAGTATAAAAGAGAAAGAACACAGCTTAAAGGATTTATCCATATGCTGCCCCATTATCTTGCTGATGACTTTGTTCAAAATGACTGCGTCTGGAAAGATCTGAAAAGCTATCTGATACATGTTGATGGTCACTCTTTTTTCTCAAAGGGGCTGACCCTAATGAGAGACCACGGGCTTGTTTACATCATGCCTTGGTGTAAGAGACTGTTCTGATGCTGTGGAATGGGAAAAAACAATAAGACTTTTCTATGTCATCTGGTTTTCTAATACTTGAGATGTGGAGTTCTGGGCCATAGGTTGCTGAGTGATACAAATGGTAAGACTGACATTTTGAACCCAACCTACTGAGGAGGTTGCTTCTGTAAAGATAACAGCTGAGAAAACCATAGGATACAGTTCTGTTCTGTCTGTAACACATAGAGTCTTCATGAATCAGAATCAACTCAATGGTGGTGGTGCTGGTGGTGGTGCTGGTGGTGGTTGTTTGCTATCGAGTCAAAACCGACCATAGCTGACTAGGTTTTCAGAGGCAGTAAATTGCACAGGGGGAGATTGCCATCCTTCTCTCATGGAGCAGCTGGTGGATTCGAATCTTTGGGATACAAGACTTTGGGATTACAGTGCTGCTTCTTACAACTATGC